AAAAACTTATAAAAAAGTTGGCAAAACTCCGAAGAAAAACAAAACCTTATAAAACTTATTATAAATGCCAAAACTGCCAAAACCTTGCCAAAACTATAATAAAACTATAGTAAAATTTTAGAGAAATTAATCATAGAATTTTGAAGAAGTTTAGACAGGTAACTTTATCTTCTAATTACACCATTATGCATTTTTGTGAGTAAGGTATCACTACATCTAGTAAATAAAATGAAAACATTTACATAGTATTTTATAGTAGGAAAACTACATTTTTCAAATGTATTATTAATTTTTCTTTTTAATAAAAATTAAAAAATGACTTATCTTTATGATAATAGCAGATTTTTATTATTTACAAATTTTTACTGATTAATATTTGGATCATGAGTTAATATATGGCAAAATTTGAAAAATATTATTTTTATTAAAAATAAAAAAATTATTACCATACCATTCCAAAATTAAACAACCATTTTTTTGAACTTAATTCCAGCCAAAGCAGTCATAATTCTGGTCAAAATCTCCATAATGCGGGCTAAGGTTGCTTATTTTCAGGGTTGTTTAATTTCGGAATGGTACGGTACTTCTATTAATCAAATTCTTTTCAGTATAAATTATAAAGTATAATAATAATATAACTGTTAAACTGAAATATATTTTATTGATAGCAATTTTACTTTAATTGTAATATACTATTGAAATGTAACAATTCTTGATATGGATTGATATTTATAATATTTCTTTTACCTGTACTGTACATACCACTAGTATTTAATATTATAGTATGTATTTTTACAAAAACTATAGCTTAAATCAAAGAAGTTGCTCTAATTAGCATTCTCAAAAATGGCTGGAAAAAATGTTTGATTAGTATTATTTTTATTTTTTTATATTGCAAATATTGCAAAATAATTAAGTACTGTAATGTGAAATATAATATAGTATTGGTTTAACCAGATTATAAATAAAAAATACATAAATTATATAACTATATGACGTGAAATATAATTTTTGTTCTTAAATACCAAATTTCTTTTATTATTAGTTCAAATTACTAAAAGGTTTAAAAGGTTTAATGAAATATAATAATTTAGTTATAATAGTATAAAGGTTTATTTTAATATACTGTACATTTATTTAGAAATCCATAGACATATAATAAAGGTCAAACAAGAGTTGATTAATACATCAAAAAAAGATAAATCATTTTTTTTTTAAAGGAATATAATAGGGTTCAACTTATATTAAGTGTTCATTTACAAAGTATTAATAATACAATTACTGACCTTACTTTTACTAAATGGAAATTTAAATAGCCTAGTAAAATAGAATATCATGCTAAAAATGTGACTTTAATTGTATAATTATGAAGTATCTACGTTAGTCACATAATTGACACATCTAAGTCATCATTTGATTACAATGTCGGAAGTGATAAATTAACATTATGCTCGGAGTAATACCTTTTGAAACTTGGAATTCTTAGGCATTTGAGGCACATATGGTGTTCTTACCTCAGGACTATCTGAAACTGTCACATACGCGTTGCTGTGAAACTTTACATGCAGTAGGAATGAAAAATATATGTAAAAAACAAGGTATGTTTTTTTTTTAGATGGATGCGGATCCTGGATTAAATGCGAGCCCTACATTATTGCTCTCACAAAGAATCTACAGCTAATTGTATATTTCTACTCCAGTTAATTGTTTCTGTAGTAAATGCTATATTTCTACTCCAGATTACATGCTTCGCATAATGTTTATTAAATCTATCCCTTGTTTTTTGGATAATAGGGTGTTGAAAAACTATGATTTATTTCAAATCTCTCAAATCTCTCGGTTAATCCACTGAGTTCATTACCTCTCATATCCCCAATAATCATTTTCTACTTTGAAATAAATTATCTCACTCTCACGGTCTCACCATATGAGAGATTAAATTCCGAAGATTAGCAATAGGATTTTTTTTTTAAAAAAAAATAAAACGATATAATACAATATATCCTACCATTTTTCACATCAATCATGTGATTTACAATTCGACCCTAGCAATGCGGTCAGAATTGATGATTGCACCATTCTCCTCTAAAATCATTTGGAAAGCTCCATAGTCCGTTAGTTCGTAAACTTAGTACTGTATTTATATTTTTTAAGGGACCTTTATCATTCTATTCCTTTTTAAAACAAAAAATAGAATGACATAATCGACGTATATGCCTGATCATTTGATGCTTTTTTTATTGCATCAATTTCTTTCTTTTTATTGCATAAATCTGGTGAAACTAACCGAACGGAAAGTTTTAAAGGATCAGCCAAAAAATATGTAACTCGGCGAATTTTCTATCAGGGAGAGATCTGTAAAAGTATTTAACCAAAAATTATCTAGAAAGAAAGTTATTTTTTTTTGGTAATTTAAATAACATAAAATAGTTATATGGCGTTAATAAAAATAAAATTTACTTACTCCAGATTATAAATTTTCCTAAAATATACATAAAAGGCATAAGGGATTACATTACATACAATTTCATCAAAGATTTTCAGGGATTTTTTACTTTGCCGTTATTTAATGAATGATTCTTTTTGTTTCAGATTTTCAAGGTTGCTTTTTATTTATTTTTTGTGTTGCCTCAAAAATAAATCTTTTCTCATGATTGAAAGTTTTTTTTCATTGATGTTGTTACACTTTTGATACCTACACTTATAGCATCCAAGGCACAAAAATTTTTAAGATTATTCAGGGTTCTATGATTTAAATCAGTTTACTTTTTCAAGTAAAAATAAATGAAATCTAAATGGTTCATTCTAATAAATATTACATAATAATTAAATATCATTTGCTTGTGAAATGATAATTTCTTTTCCTCATGTTAAATTTTTTTTTTTTTTGAGTAATCTATTTCCATTTTCTTTTCATTTATATAATAAAAATAATAAAATATAAATTCTTCTTTGTTTAGTATTTAATTATCTCGTAAGAGTTTCCTAAATAATTGATTAATTAAAAATTATTATTAATCATAAATAATTGATTACGTTATATCTTTTACCGTGTTTCCTACTTCTAAAAATATTCTCGCGCCAAAACCTTGAACTATATTAAAATCATTTTTTTTTTTAATTTACCATTATTATTAAATTAATTTTTTTGGGTTCCCTTCCCCAACTTTTTTTTTTTTTTTTTTTTTTTTTTTTT